GTACCAATGAAGACAAAATAACTATTTTCTCTAATTTTTTATTTATTATCATTTTTTTTTTCCCAATCGCATCCGTGCTCTATAGTTCCGTCTTAAATCTCTTGAAGAGTGCAATTGGGCACAAATCTCGTCGAGAGCACAGAAAACAAAAAAAGGATCGCAAAGCAATTGAAAGAGAGCGATGAGGATTTTTGGGAAGCTTGTGTATCCAAGGCAAATTATTGTTTTCGCCTCCGGGTAAGATCGTTATTTCATCGAGTTACTTGTTTAATGTCTTTGTTTCAATTTCATTAAAGAAACAGAAGGAGTTTATGAGTCAGAAATCGACAGGCTTCTAATATTGGGCACGACAACGTACGATGTTCACAGATCCATAAAGCACAACGAAAAGCCTCCTTCCAAAGAACAACTCCAAGCTCTCCAGGATTACGTCAACTCCGCCCGCCGCCCGCCGCCGTGATGCCGTCCGAAAACTTAGTTTGGTTGCCTTTTCAATCATTCCCTTCCAGGACTACGTCAACTCTGTCCGCCGCCCGCCGCCGTGATGTTGTCCGAATACTTAGTTTGGTTGCCTTTTCAATCATTCCCTTTTTCGTAACTGTAATCTGAAAATTTCTGTAATCAAATTCATAAGATCCAAAAGCACATAATCACTCTCCTTATCTATCTATTTCTGTTTTCTCTTCGTCAATTTTCATTTTTCCAAATTTCTTTCATTTTACATTTTCAATCAATGGTTACAGTATTGCCACGTTCATGCCTACTAATAGTGGTTAAAGTTAACAGCCGACATGTGATTTATGAACAAGACTTGTTACTTGTGTAACTTATCGTATGTTATATTATAGTAATTTTTGTAATTTATATCATATAAATACATGAAATATAAATATATTAATTGATAACTAATTTTATCTTTCTAATTAATATTAAAAAATAATTTTTTATTATTGTTATATAGATAAATATAATTTTTTTTTATACATACAATATGGATGTTAAATCGAAAGTTGTCAAAATATGATTAATTTGATATATTGTATATGTAAAACTGATAAAAATTACAAAAGTTATTAAGTTTAAAATACATTTACAATTCAATGTTTATAATAAGAAATGATATTAAAATTCAATTAATACATGTAGCATTATCATAAATAATCAACATATTTATGGATATTTCGGACCTAATTTTTGGATCAGAAGTAAATTAAAATCAATCCAAGCCTAATAACAAAACATGTAATTTTTCCACATAAAATCCCGAAGCATACGAGTCTGCCACTTAGGCTTAGTCCATTTTAAATTAATGTATAGAGAAATATGGCAAAGAATAATGATTTTGGAGTTAGGCTTGGATGTAATTTAATATTTTTATACAAAAATAATAGTCTTAAGTTTCATTTAATGTCTATATTGTTCATATTAATTCCATGGTTGATCTTTTCCTTATTTTATCAATTATTTATCATAAGCTATTTACATTCCTTTTTCCTACATTACCATATATTACATTTCATTTTCTTATTTAACTGATACATCAATAATCAATTATTATAAAAATTACTTTTTCTTATTTTAAAAAGTTTATAACTTTTTGTTTGTATTTAATTTTTTATATATGATATATAAAGTTAATTATCTGGATCTTCAATTTGACATCTATATTATGTATATCAATACACAAACATTGATATTTATCTCTAAAAAAATTTAATCTATTCATCAAAATAAATTAAAAATAAAAAAAAAAAACTATAAGTTATCTTATAAAGTAATGGAAATTTATGCGTATTACCATACCATAAAATAATTATTTTATTTGAAAAATAAACATGTAAACTAACTTTGTCCATTGCAAATAGAGCTGGAAGAGTCATTGTTGACAATTCTCCTGGCATAGTGCTAATAATGAACTAGATCAAAATAGCTCAATTAAATTCTAGTGCTTCTTCTATTAGTGAAGTTTCTAGAAAAAAAAAATATATCAAACGACGCAATGCACCTTGGGTCGCTACGGAAACAGCCTCATTTTATAATTACAAGGGTAAGGTCTGCGTACAACTGACCTCCCAGACCCCAACCAGTTGAGAATATACTGGGTATGTTGTTGTTTGTTTGTTTGTTAAACATGTAAACTAACTATGAACATCAAATTAATATAAAAATCTCAGGTTTATGTTTCAACTTAAATAAAGAATACATGGAGAGTGAATATTATAATGATCTTAAAAAACTAAATAAATTATTTAGAAAAATTAAAATAGTTATTATATTTCATAAAGATTAATTCATAAATATTTCTCATAGACCACCTTCTGGACGGTGATCTTTCCAGCCTGGTTAAGCTCAATCTCCTCAGTGAGATCACCCCGGAGGTCTATCTCGACCCACACCCGTGCGACAGATAGCCTCGATGGTTGGCCGTAGCGGCATTAACCTCGATCAGATTGCTAATACAGCTGGCAATCGAGAAGAGAGCATTGGGGTCAAAAAGATAGGTAGAAGGCCTGGGAGAGCACCAGACTGGGACAATGGGTGATTCTGTCGATGTACAGAAGTCAGGGGTGTATTTGAACACCCGACCAGAGCACCCACAGACGTTCAAATACGTCTTGATCCAAGCTTCGTTATAATCCTCTTTCAACTCAAAGAACACTAACTAATGGTTGAAGTTAAGATGCTTAGGTGTGAATCGACCCTTAAACCTCAGCTCTCCTAACCAACAGATAGATCTCGGAGGGAGGGGATAAAGAAGGAAAACTTCAAAATAAGGACATTATCATACGGTCCAACTAGAGAAGAAATATTGGGCTGAGGGAAACTTACTCAGTCCCTCGCTGCTTGTCCCGGAAAGACTCAAGCGAAAGTCTTTGGTGGCCAGCTTTGCCGGCAGGGTTGCCGGAGACTGCATCTCGGAATGATCGTGTGATGGTGGGGGGCATGGCCAGAATAGTTGGAGCCGCGACATTGGAAGCCCCGGGGGCCGAGTGAGGTAAACGCGAGTTGCCCGTCGGGGGCTGACAGGTGACCCCAAAGGCCGGGGCTAAGCTGCCGGGGGTTAATGGATCAAAGACCGACTGAGGAGGAGGCCCGGAGGCGCGAAATACAACAACTTTAGAGGTGTCGCTGGAAGAGCGGGGTTCGCCGGAGACGACACCAGAAATACGTTCAGTCGACGCCGAAAAAATTTGACCCACCGGCCGGCGGCGGGAGCCGCCAGTGAGGGAGCTACAGCAGGGGGGAAGGATTGCGGAAAGGGCTGGGTTGCTAATGCGGGCTGGGGTGAGAGATGGGTGGGCTGGGGTGGATGTTGGTCGTGGGCTAGTTTGGTTGAAGTGGGTTGTGAAGAGGGTTGAGGGAAAATGGGTTGAGGGAAAATTGGCCGAGAAGAATAGGCTGGGATATAGGAGTGAGAGGCAGTGGGTTGGGATGTGGGATAGGGCCCAAGAAGAGAAGGAAAGTATGGGATAGATCTGGGCCTATGAAGCGGCCCAAAGTGAGGAGGCAAAAAACTAGACGCCACGTCGTCCAGCTGAGGGGTAGGGTTAGGGGAAATAGCACCGACACCCAGAGAAATGTGGTTGAGCAAGGGTAGGTTAAGGGTGAACGCTGGCGAGGATGTGAGAGGGGCCAGCGGCAGCGAGCCAAAAACCACTGGGCACTTAAATCGGTTTTCAATAAGTTCGACAGGACTGGTCTGAAGCTTGGCGCCGGCGACTGAGGGCACCCCGGGACCGGCGGTGGATGAGACACAGACATGGAGGGGATTTGCGCGACGGCGACTGGAAACGAAGTCTGCACTGAGGTGAGGGAGGAGGTGGCCGGGACGCCGACCGGGATTTCCCCTTCTTCCAAACTCGAGGTCGACGACTGAAGGAAGGGCAGAAGGGCCTTTTGACATCCTGAGAGAGCAAAATATTCAAGTCCAACAGCGGTGGGTGAAAAGGCGACGGCTTCGAGGAGACTGGCGTCGGGAAAGCTGGGGTAAGTGCCATGGAAAAAAGGAAAAGATAAAAAGCTAGGTGAGGAAAACAAACGGCCCGGCGACCGAGTGGGGCGCGGCCGACGAGGGCGACTAGGAGGTGGGGCTGGCCGGAAAAGGTGAGATCAAAAGAAGGTGAAGGAAAATGGATAAGGCTTTTAGAGAGAGAAAGTTAGAGAGAGGGGAGAGCATTTTTTTGGTTATCCATAATTATTTAGCACTAGTTGGAGTGAAAAAGTTGACTTATTATTTGACGGTGTAAAAAATAATGGGGCTAAAATAGTTATTTTCACTTTTCACATTTAGCCCAAGCACAAAAGTTAGGCCTGAAATATGTATATATTGATGAATAAAATGGCTAAAAAAAAAAAATCAACGTTGTTTTTCATCAATGCATGTGAACTCCACAAATGCATGAGATGGCACTTGTAAATGATGTCTTTTCTGGCTGTATATAAATGCCTGTTCCATTTATTCAGAAGAACACATACGGAAATTCAAAGACCATCAACTACTGATGCTTATGAAACATGGTGACCAAAGATGGAACACAAAAGTGATGTGATCATCAAATACAAAGACAAATCAATTACTCGTAAGATCACAAATTTGCTTCATTCATCTCCCCTCAAAAGAATGCTAAAAAATGCAGAAACCTTTGCAGGTTTGTTCCTCATCCAATCAATCCCCAAACTTGATTTAGTAAATGCTAAAGTTGTACCACAGACATAGCTTAACCACATGCTGGTATACGCACATACGGCATGTGAACAAACACAATGGAATAAGGAGAAACTCTGATAGGCTCGGACGAACTCACCATTATAGGCTCCAGATGAGGTATAATCCCAACAGGGCCAACAGTCAGTGGCTTCCCATTAAGCAACACAGTCCGACTTTGTATGTTCCCATCTAATGGGGTCAAGTGGTATTCTTCTCTCACACTTTCAGACACTTCTCTATGCCTATGATGATGATGATGATGATTATGCCCGTGTTTGTATGGTTTTATGCCATGAAAGTCAATTGTTGCATGGACCGTCGTTTTGCCGTCTATGTTTATTACTAATATGGTGATGCCTTGCTGCATAGGAGATCAGATATATATAACATGAGATCAGATAGTAGGTATTCTTTTTTTTTTTTTTTTTTTTNTTTTTCTTTCTAAAAACACAAAACAACCCGAAACTCATGAGATGGATTTTGTTAATATGCCTTATAACTACCCTAATCATCTGTGTTCTTTTATGCAAAAAAAGGGCACACGCTTAAGAGGGCCATTTGTGAAACAAAATCACAGACTTAAAAAGGGCATTCCTTTAACAATAATAGGCCTCAAGAGTCAAAGACTAGCATTTGATCATTTCCTCATTCCATATGTCATATGTGAAATCATTCCCAGAATAAAATAAGAATCGTTATCATCCTAAGACTCACAGAGTACTTTGCACAATGAGCGTAAGTACGGATCATTTTAGTCCCCGTAAAGTTGGTCGATAGAACATATTGTCCCATTAACCTGTGCCAAAGAAGAGCACTGCAAGAAAAGGGAAAGTGTGGCTATGCATGAGTACATCAGGTAGGGGTTAAAATCCAAAAGAAAATGCCCAAACAATCTCCAAATGTTATCGAATTTTGTGAGACATATTAACTGGAGAAAACAACAAAAGGGCAAGGAAAATACAGAATAATCCATTTTAACTTAACCTGTAGTAATCTGGATTTGGAACAAATGTTGCGGTGTTAAGTAAACCATAGTTACCACCAATTAATGACTGCCTGCAATATGTCTTTGTGTCATATGTAGATGCCAACCCTAGCTGATCCAAATACCTTTATATCATTCCAAATGAAAACAAAAAAGATTACGAAAGGGACTTTTTATCATCAACAGCCTATCAGAAAATTTTATTACAACTTACAAACAAAGTTTTACCAGAAACTAAACACGAATGCATTTGTAACATTATTGCGGCCGCTATTGTAAGCTCCACCGGCTTCCCCAACCCAAGCAACTGCCGAGTTTTTTGAAGTTCTTACAATGTCATGGACATTTCTGAACAAGTTGGCTCCATTATCGAGAATGGTTGGGTCTAGAATTCTATCTATAAGGTGCTCGTCACTTCCTACAAAAATCAGCAGAAGTAGAATTTGTTCACAATATCTAGATTTATTTTCAACAGAAAAAACTAAAAACATTATTGCTTGAGTTGAGGTGTAGAGTACCTGGGCCGAGATTATAAATATGGTGGGTGATCACATTCAGTGACCCAACGGTTTTAGCTAGGAATTGCTGGTACCAAGCAGGGTCAAAGAATCCTCCCGGTGCTATGATCTGAGGTTTGTTACTAATATTCTTATAGATATCTTGTATCAAATTGTGTAGAATAATTGTGTCTGATGCATATGGATCAACAGCAACTCCTACTCCTACTCCACTTCCACTCAATTCATTCCCTGACAAGAGATGAAAAAAAAAAAACTTTCAACTACTTGTTTTTGTTCATATTAAACTGCGCATAAAAATCATGAACATGATCACGAGCTACAAGAATGTAGGCAAATGCTAAGGAAAACAACAGATTAAAAGAAGAAGAGAAATGTAATGTAAAGAGGGGTTTGCTTAGTTTTTGGCTTCAAATAAGTAGTATTTGTCGATTTTAGATCCATGTTTTTGTGCAGCTTTAAGGTTCCCAAAAAGTCAGATGATGTGTTCTTCAGGTCCAAATTCTGGTTTTGACTTTTATGCACATGTAAAGCAATCTTTCTCCAACTTATTCTCAACCTACAGTAATACAGAAAACAAGAAGCAAGATACAATGATTTGATATCATATGATTCATACCCAGTTCCCACCCGTAGATTTTGTAGCCCTTTTCTACGGTATAACGAATTAGAGATGCAGCATTCGAAGAATCCCACGGGCCCGTTGCGGTATTCCCATGAATCGATTTTCCATGAAGAGCATTTAATCCGAAAATAACGAAAGCCCTGAACTCAACTCATACAAAGTCGACCGGTAACAAGTTTGTATATCAACATCACTAACTATATAACAAAAAATTAAGTTTGTACCCAGATTTGTTGAAGAATGAATTGAGCTCGTCCCATCTAGCCAACGGCAGGCATCCATGAGAGAAACCAAACATCCTGGACGGGATTTTGGAGAATGGTCGGCATGGCTGGTGTTCGTCTTTAGTCTGATAGATGACTTTATCTTGCAAACTACCACCCAATCTGATCTTCAATGGTGAAAACGCTACATAATTTTTTTTTTTCTTAGTGATATTATAATTTCACTAAAAAAGTAACTGAGGATGCAAAACTATGTATGTATGTGTACCTTTCACCGCATTCAAGAAAAGCACGTTGTTAAGATCCTGCAATTAGGTAGGACAAAAAGATAAAGACAATTCTGAAGCAAAGCAAAGCATTGAGATTGTTGACGAAGAAAATAAGAATGTGTTGAGCAGAGAGAGCTCCATATATGACAATACCAACCAAATTGAGCAGAGAAGCTCGGCCCCAGCTGCAAGTGCCATAGTCGCATTTGTCCGGCGGCCACCAATCTAGAGTCGCGCACACGAAATCCTCATCCGTCTTTGCGATTGGGCTGCTCCCCTCTATCAGTATAAAGCTGCCGCCATTAATACTCTCATTCGCACCGCAAACAGACCCGACCAGCACCCAAACACACAGCCACCACATCTTTGAGCAAACCGTGAAACCCATCTAACAAAAATGGTGATTCAACAAAGCTTTACTGAAAATGATATCTCTGCCTGACCTTATTTAAATGCAAAGGAAAAAAAACAGAGAGAGAGAGAGAGAGAGAGAGAGAGAGAGAGATTGAAGGTTTTGATGTAGAGCAATAATGTGGTAAAATAAGAGGTCAAGCTGCACAGCTGCAGACTGCTTTAATTTACCAAGGAAAACAAGCTGTAACGGGACATTAATGGCTGGAGCTTTAAGAAAAGAGTGAGAGAGAGAGAGAGAGATTACTGTTTTAATTACCGTCACGTGTGCGTGCGAATTTTGTTGAGCGATGCTGTTTGTATTATTGACTATTTCAGTAAAATTGGAGTAGTGGGCCACCCAAAATGAGCTTTGCTTGCTGTAGAGAATAAGAGATTGCATAAAGAGCAAAGAAAAGAACAAGTTTAGTTTGAATAGGTAGCCATGGCCACGAGTCACTCGGCCTGCCGACTCGGCCCGGACCCGGCACGGAACCGGCACAGACCCATCCTGGTCAAACTCGTTAACCACGGGTCCAGTCCCGACACGGATTTCAAACGGACCGGTCAAGGGTCATGTTTTTTCTGACCTTGACCCGGCGGGTCGGGCTGGGTCCGGACCAGGTCCATGTCGGCACGGAAAAATGCATTATTTTTGATTTTTTTAATTTTTTTTATGTGACCAGGTCCAAACCCGGATCAGACCCGGCCCGGCTCGCCGGGTCATGGACCCGGCACGACTCTAGATTCGTGCCGGTTCAGGGTCGTCGAAACCCAACCCGGTGGTCTATGAATAGGATTTGGTGAACCAAAAAAACTACTCATGTTTCACAAAATATCTAAATAAATAAAAATAAAATAAGATTGTATTGTTATAAAACTAGAGAGAAAGAGAGATAATAGAGAAAATGTTTTTATTATGTACGATTTTTATTATAACTGAAACTCTTATTTATAAGAAACTTATGATGACATAACTTGTAATAATAGGTAGACATTGAGGGCAAAATAGTCATTCACATATATTATTTTATTATTTCATAACACTCCCCCTTGAATGACTATTTTCTAAACACATTTTAACTGATTTGAACAAAGCTCATTCTGAACATCTTGAAGTGTATCTTGTAGCCATCAGGTACTGGTGCTTCATTCAGTACGGATCTATAAATTTTACTCAGGGGGCCCGATTTTAATTGTTAAGTATCGATCAGTCATTTCGTATAAAAATGTATTTACTATAAATATAAATATAGATATGTGTACTATCATGTTTTTAAAAACTTAGAATTTGTATCACCCTCGAACTTATTGAAAAAAAGAGAGATATATCATGTATTTATAATTTAAGTTCAACATCTATATTTATGAAAAATAATTTTTTTGGTCGAAAAATTGATTTAAATTGGAATTTTACACCACATTACATAACATTTTTGTTAATGAGAGCTTATCAAATGAATATTTTTTTAAAGAAAAAAATATATAAATTTAAAAATATGTTATTACACAAAAAAAGAGAGTAAAAAGTCAAAATTAAAAAATATAACAATCCAACTAAATACTTTGTTTTATAAATAACTAAATCGATTTATAAGTAAAAGACAGAAAGAGTAAATCATTATAAATATTTTCAAAAGCTTATCTATAAATTTAAAATATAAGAATTGTTAGTAAATTTTTCAATAAATATATAATATAACTAATTTAAATAAAAACAGCATAGGAAATAAGTTTTAATTATTAATATATAGTAAATATTTTTTACATTTCTATACATATTTTATAATATTTTTCTATATACATATTTAATAAGTTTTAATTATTAATATATTACAAATTTTTTGTAAATTTCTATACATTTTATAGTATTATATATATATATATATATATATTCAAAAAATTAGGGGCCCATGAGCCCTCCTGGGCCCCATCTAGCTCCGCCTATGGCTTCAGTATGTCAGGAAAACTCGGGGGGACAAAACCTAATCATCTTGAAATTCTAACATTGCTTCCTCAGAAAAACCTGGTGTGACATCTGAGCATTATGGAAGCACAATATTGCTCCCCTCAAATTGATCATCTTTAATGGAGTATCCACGTGCTACCTCGTTAAAACCTTGTCAAGAAAATCCAGTGGGAAAAACTTGATCGAAGGAAAAGAGTACAACAACTCCAGTGTTTTATCATCATCATGAGGAATCATAACTATTACAACACCCGTGTAATACACGGGTGCTTGCTAATTTTTTTTCTTAAAATTTAAAACTAATGAAAAAAATGGTTGAAAAGTTAAATATTTTTTATAAAAAAATATATTATTATATATTTTAGTATGATACTTGTTCCTTGTGCGACTTACATGTGTTATATTATAATATTTTTTCTAACTTATATCATATAACTATATTAAAGATAAATATATTAATTAAGAAATAATTTTATTTTTCTAATTAATTTAATAAATAATTTTATTATATTTTAGAGATAAATATAATTTATTTATTTTATATATACAATATGTGTGTCAAATGGAAGCTCATCAAAAGATGATTAATTTGATATATTATCTATGCAAAACCGATAAAAAAATACAAAAATTATCAACTTTTAAAATATATTTAAAAAGTTAGGGATATATTAGTCACTTAGTGCCGCACTATGTAAGATTACAAAGAATTAATGGATTATATTAGTATAAGTGTTATGAAATTACTTAAGTTAGCTTAATAATATTTATGGAATGTCCGAACCTAAGTTATGGAATGTCCAAACCTAAAGTTATTAATTTAGAATATCAATATTAATTGTCCAAACTAAAATACGAAGCATGATTCTTCGCCAAGTAGGATTCCGAAGCACTAGAAGCAACCACGCATTCAGGAATTATATATAGGAGGATTATCCAGTAGTCTTCGTTATACCATGAATATGCCTCGTTAAAACCTTATTAGGAAAAACCCAGTGGGACAAAATCCTAATGAAGGAAAAAGAGTACACTATTCATGTGAATACGCCATCCATGTTGCCTCATTAAAAACCTTGCTAGGAAATCCCAATGGGACAAAAACCTCAGCCAAGGGAAAAAGAGTACAACATGTATTCTATATATTCACCATAATAACCTTTCCATAATTTTCATGAATATCATATAGATTCATTCAGATTTTTCGATACTGGTGGTAATTATGATAATATGCCATATCATGCTTCTGTGCAACTATCATTCTTAAACTCATTCTCATCATCAACCGATTTCAATGGTTTTACTGCCAATAGTTTCCAATATTCTCATTTCAGTTGATTTCATTCTCCTCAATATATTTTATATAGCGCTATTCATTTGTTTGTGTCGCACTTATTCATTTCCATTATTCCCCGCAATATGTAGAGATATCTCATTATCAATTGATTTTATCAATAGTATATATATGTCTCCTTTCATCACGTATTTGGGGAATTTCAATTTGCACAATACCAACGCTTCTAGCGTATTATTCCACAATCATATCATTTATATATTTCACTATCATCAGTATCATTCAGTTTATGATTTGCACACTTTCAGTGTGATGCATATTCCTTTTACAAATATCAATCCTTGATTCTCCCCCTCATCTTAATAGATCCCTGATCTGTATTTTCATTATTGAGTTTCTTAAGGGGAGTTCGTATAATCTCCATTTTGTTTTCGATTTCAACATATAACAGGAGGACTTTGAACTCATATCACTTGCAATGTGCACATTTTTCTTTCAAAAGTTCATCATATCAGCTGAGTATATTACTAGCTTCATCACTTTCATATGACACTTATTTTCATTCTTTCATAATCATCTTGTGTCATTCTTTGATCAAACCATCTCGTAACTTTAGGTTACGTGTCATATACACATTCTTTGATAAAATCATCTCGTAACTTTAGGTTACGTATCATATATCCATTATTTGATCAAATCATCTCGTAACTTCAAGTTACGGATCACACACATGTGGCTATCTAGTTGATCCATAATATCTAGTAGCACACATAGAGAGGTAGTGGGCCCATATATATCGTACCCCTTTTATACTCAGTTTCATCAAATATCGATTCACAAATATTTAGCTAGTAATAATTTCACCAATCGAGAACAAAGCATCTCATATTACAAAGAATCAGTTAATCATGCAAACCATCATCATTTATATCAGTAAACATCACGATAATTCGTTGTGACTCATTTATCACAAACATATCACATCATCTTTCGGCGGCAATAAATGCACTTTAAGTGCAGATTATGACCCACAATATTTCAATTTAGAATCGTGTCACATGCGTATTATTCCTTCTGTAGCACAAGCTTTCTGTTTTTAGAGTTGTCTAGCATACGCATTATTTCTATAAATTATCAGGCAATCCATTCAATATTTCTGAACAAAGGCTCGAATTCACAAATGGATTTAGCACTCTCATATATCCGTAAGTATTATTCTTCTCTCCTGTTAAATATCATATAAAGGATTTATCGATCTCGATTAGAAAGATTGAGAGTGCTAATGATTAATGATATACCATGCGATATTCTATTGTTGATTGAAGCAAAAGTTCGATTATCGGGAGAGTTTCCAAATTCATACAAATATATGCCAGGTATGGGTAAGATTACTTTTGCAAAGAAACGAAGAGCAAAAAGATTAGATGGATGCTTCAAATGCGCTCGATGGACTTATGACACACGATGTAAATCAGTGGGGTTCGTGTCCAAAAATCGAGAAGATAAAATAACATTTATAAATGATAGATTGAGTAAAGAGTCTATGGATCAAACGATTTACCAGATTCTTGAGACACATCCTAGTGGTTATGTGCATCGTGAGCTTACGTCTCTATGGGTTCATTTCAAAAATGAAGAGGAATGTTATAGTCTCGAAAATCTTGATTCAAAAGATCAAGTTTGTATAACTAGTCTTGTTAGTACGAAAGTCATACTAATGAAGTTTAGTAGTAAAAATCTTATAGCTGCCGACATATAAGATTCATTGAAAACCCAACGCCTTATTTGTCGGTTATCGTTTTGTGAAACTTTCCTTTTAAATAACGAGTCATTCATCACAATCATATATCTCACAAAATTTTGAAAAATTCAATTTATCAATAAATAGATGGATGTTTTAGAGTCTTCGCAAGGTAATAAATTTTTTCAACCGATCAAAGCCATGTGTGTTCTTGGTGG